ATATTATGCATTTCCTAAATCACTAAAAACATAACTTTCCTACAATATTTATTAAATACCAGAAACAGCATTACCCACAACCCCCTAATTGAGTTTCCCATATTATTATCTATGACACATTGTTTTTACATTTAGAGCTTAGTATGATTTAATTTTGTGGAGTAGAGAAAAAGGACAGATAGCTCCTCCATCAACCGTCTTTTTGGTTCTTTCTATTTACTCTCATATTTTCTCTGAATTTAATAAAAATGACATATAGTGACATTTTAAAATATACTTTTAAAAGCATTTATCTGTCTGATTAATCCTGTTCCACATTGTTTTATTTGAAATATGCATAGGGATAAAGAAAAAGGGTTTGAATCATATATTTGGAATGCCACATAAACTTTTATCCTCCCTCAAACAAGCTCAAACCCCTAGTGGACATCCCTGAAAAGGGGGAAATGCTAACTTTGTTTTCTAATAGAGCTGTACCAAATAGCTCTCCTAGGCAATCATGCTGACAACAAACAATAAAGAACCTGTCATAAAATAACAAGTTTTTTATGATATGCTGCCAGAAAACTGAGCTTTGCAGTGGGATAAATGGCACCATCCTAAAATATGGGCACAAAGGAGAATAGGAAATATGGGATTTATTGCTTTAAAATCAAACTAACAATGTATTACAGTGGTAGATTGGGAAAAAATATAAAATGCTCTGGGGCCACTAAATAACCATGAACGATGAGATGATGTTTGAGTTGTAGACCATATGAGCAGCTATATTGCAAGCCTTAGAAAAATCTCCTGAAATTGGTTTCCTTTTCCAATTTAGAAAAGGGAGAGACACAAAAGATAGAATAGGTAGGGGGAAATCACAAACAAGTACGATATAAATGAGTCTTTTAGCATTGATGCTCCATCAAATGTTGTTTTCTATTGCCTTTTTTATTAAGCTGTTCCTAGAGCTACCTCTTGACATCTGAAAATGCCTTTAGAAGGGATGTTTGCTTCTGATTTACTTACTAAACAAAAGCAACTGTTGATCCTGAAGAAAAAGCATTCAATTAATGCAGAGTGTGAAAGATTAGACGTTGAGAAATGCACCATTCCTTATTGTTTTCATGCTATTGGCACATTTTGTTTTCATTTAATTTTCTCACATAGTGATATGGAATAGTTGCTGTCTCTAAATTGCGAGAAGGGTGCCCTATCAGTGTACTTCTGCCTCCTGGAATATATGGATACCACTACTCGTCACTCTCTTGTCTTCTAAGGGACAGGTAGTCACTTAATCTTCAGTAATTGTCAGCAACTTTAGTTTCAGACAAATTGGTGAGATCATAGGACATAAAATAAAAATAGGGCATAGTGCCCAGCCGGTGTGGCTCAGTGGCTGAGCATTGACCCATGAACCAAGAGATCGCTGGTTCAATTCCCAGACAGGGTACATGCCCAGGTTGTAGGCTCAATCCCCAGTGGGGAACATGAAGGAGGTGGCCAATCGATGTTCTCTCTCATAGAATGTTTTTAATCTCTCTTTCCCTCTCCCTTCCTCTCTCTCTAAAATCAATAAAGAAAAAAATAGATTAAAAATTTAAAAAAGAAAAAAATACAAGACAACTCGTGGGCACCTGAGTTTGGTCTGGGGACTTGATTGGGTATTTGACTACTTTTAGTCTAGAAAAGTGAGGAGCAGTATAAGAAAACTAATAAAGCTTAAAAAGGGAAAAATTGGCAAACATGGGAATTCCCAAATGAGAGTCCTTTTGCTTAGAATTACTGGAACTTATCTTCTCCTGGATAACTCTTATTCATCTCCAGGGTTCCTCTTAGACATCATCTCCTTCAGGAAACAACCTTGGATTCCACTCTCACACCTCTGTGCCCTGATCTGAGTGAGTTGTTCCCATGTGCTTCCATTCACTATCATGGTACTTATTGTGTTATATTGTCATTTACTATCTGAACACTTCACCCTCTAAAGACTGAAGAATGTTAAGAGCTGTGATTAACTTTGTATACCCAGTACACAGCACACGGTGATGTTCACTGAGTAAATAAACAAGTAGGATTAATGCCTGAGGACATGTTTTATGCAATCTTCCTTCTTTAAAAAAAAAAAGCTTTGTCCTGCAAAGTAAATTTTGAAAATTCTATGCAAATCACAAATGTTTCCCAAAATAAAAGTAATGAGATGTTTTATAAAGAAAGATATGTGATTGCACATATTTTTTTAAATTTTTTATCAGAGGAGTGTTAGTTGGCATAGCAGAAAATAAGGTAGATTAGAAATGTTATACCTAACCCTGTTTCTTACAAGAAACCTTCTGGAGATGATTTCTCCAGCTGTGAAATGAAGATGATCCTATCTGTGCTTGTTAACTTATGAAACTATTGCAAGGATCAAATAAGTCAATGGGAATGAAAGAATTTTGAAATCATTAAATTGGTATATTAAGGGTATGGAAATTTTTAAAAACATAAATGGGCTTTTATTACATACAGTTTTCTACTTTTCTTTATACATGGTGAAAGTTGAAGAGTACATCTTGGTGACAAGTTTGAGTTTGACATTGTCACTGTCAGTCCTTGGATACAAGTAAAAAGTTTTTGGCTTCTATATCCTTGATCTATTTTAGTTATTGTCACTACCATCACCACCACTATATAATCAAATATGGAATTGTTTGTACCCTTAATATACCAAGTCTCTTCTGTTTCCTTGTGGGGTAGTCAGAATTGAGTACAAAAGAAAAAGTTCTTCAGGTTTGTCTCAGGTACTTTTAACATTGGCTACTCAGTACTGACTGAAAAACTCTTTGGTGGACCAGCAGCAAAATGAAACACCAGCTTCCAGGTTCTTTGTTGTATTCCTGCACTTAGAAGACTAAAACAGAAGATAACTGGTCCTAACTTGTCTCCATTGTGATATGAGACTAGACTTGTCAGAAAACCTACAATCAGCTGTAGCATTACTTGCTATACTGTAATATAATGAAATAATATTATGACTTTACTTCTCTGGCAATCAGACAATTTAATAGCACGTTAGCATCAAGGATTCAGAATTATAATGACTTGTAATGGTTTTCAAGGCCAGTGAGTCAATAAATCAATTTTACAAGTACTTGATCAATATACATCACAGTGAGGGGTACCCGCTTAGGTCTTTCCCCTCATCCATGGTTCAGAAATGTCACAGAGATTGCAGAAGTTCAGTGTTGTCTGAAAACCACTCCAGTGCCACTGCAAAGATTTTACTGCATAAAATTCAAAGTGGCTCAACAGTGGTCCCATTGGCTTTCTGACCCAGCCACTGGAAGTGTGATAACTCATTAGTTGAAGAAATACTTTCTCAAGTGTCTGCAAGCCAGAGCAGCAATGTGGCAGTTACAAATTGTTTCCTGTCCATTACAGAATATAGAAATTTCACACTACCCTTCACACTAATCACAATTCTTCTCTTGGAAATAAATTATTTGAACTATTCCATTACTGAGATGCCTGATAACATTTTTTTTTTTTTTTTTTTACTTTGGAGAAGGGCACAGAAACTATTCAAAATCATTGTATCACTACTGCTGTACTCATGATATGAGTTTGGTGACTAGAATTTATCAGCTCGGAGAGAGAAAGAAAGAGAGAGAGCTTGGCATCAACAGTTCATTTATTGAGCTGTAAATTCTTTAGTTTTCCCCAAAAGAACACTTGTCTTCTAAGATATATTTTTTAATCCCTGTCATAATACTATAAAATATCTTTTTAAAGAATTATTCTGTGGGGTGAAGGGGGTCAGTGTGGGGAAGAATGGGGGACATCTGTAATACTTTCAACAATAAAGATAATTTTTTTAAATAAAAGGATTGTTCAAGCCCTAGTCAGTTTGGCTCAGCGCTTAGTGTCAGCCCATGGCTCAGACCGTGGGTTGTGAGTTTGATTCCTGGTCAAGGGCACATACCTGGGTTGCAGGTTCAATCCCCAGCCCTGGTTTGGGTCATGCATGAGGCGATCAATAGATGTGTCTCACATTGATATTTCTCTCTCTCTCTCTCCCCCCCCCCTTCCTCCCTTTCACTCGATCTAAAAATCAATGGAAAATATCGTTGGATGAGGATTGCCAAAAAAAAAAAAAGAATTGTTTGGTAAAACTTTAACAATTCAAAATGACACAATTACATGGTACTTGTTGGCACAATTATGTGTCATAATGCCTTACCTTTATATCCATGGATCTCTATAGCAAAACCATGAACAGAGCTCAAAAATCCTTTACTTTTATAATACTCCATGTGAGGCCTACTTCTAAATAAACAAATATTTTGCCCTCTATACAATTTTCATTCTTGCTTATCAGACAGCATATGGCTTCCTAACCTCATCTCCTACACTCCACAGTTAGTATCCCTCACACCTCCTCACACACACACACACACATTTTCACATATGCATTTCATCCAAACCAGGCAGTCTCCAGATCTTCAAATGTACCCTAGTTATTTTCTGCTTCTTTCCCCTCTAATGCTCTTCCTCAACTAGAATGCACTTTCTCCTCTTCTTCTGCCAATTCAAATCCTTCCACTTCTAGGTCATGGCTTCCAAGAAACATGGAATTCTTGACTGAGTCCACCATTCATTTTAACCTTACTTTGAATCTTCTCAGTTATTATTTATATACGATGTATACTACATGAGTATTGGTTTCTTTTAAGTCCCCACAGAAGGATTCTGGGTGCTCCAGGTGGACATGTAGCAACTTCCAAGTAGACTTTAAGCTCCAAAAGCCAGGAGCCATCTACTTAAGGTCCTCTGAATTTCCATTCTATCTGGTACATGCTATACTCAAAATAGTCACTGAGGGCTCTCAAATAAGTGCTTGAGTGAATGAAAAAAGATGAATAAGTTAAGTGTTCATGGTTTAAGACATTCAGATGATTACCAATGATCTCTGAGGTATTCATTTTTAGCAATCTGGTATTGATTTAATCTACCATAGTGCATGATTGTATACTTACCGGAACAGACACTTGAGCATTATCTGCAAGTTTTCCCAGCACAGCGAAGCCATCGACATTGATTTGGCCTCTTGGTTTTATAGGTAAGGATTCGATCCTGTTGCAGTCAACAAAAAGTGTAGCACTGCTCCTTTCTACACCAATCATGATCTTATGCCACTGGGAGTCAAACAAGGAGGGCAAATTTGAAAAGTCTGCGGACTGGAGGCTTCCATCCAGTCCCTTGTATGAAAATGCAACCGATTTTGTTCGGCCGTTAATCTTCACACCAACTTGTTCCTTCCCTGAGGAATCCTGAATCTGCCAAATGTTCCAGCTCTTTTCAAGTGTGCTTCCAGTCATCCGAAAAGTGGTTAGAAAGGAGTATTCTTCAGGCAGTCCACTGGGATATAAATGCCTGAGTAAAATTTTAAAACAGTAAACATAAATCTTGTTTTCTGTACCCATGCCTATTACCATATTCTCTTATGCTATTTTAGGCTCTAGCACTACAGAGAAGCTACAGTGTGAAATACTAGGCATTATTTGTTCTTTCATGACTGTTCATCAGGACCTCCACAGAAGTTCAATTATGCATGTACATTAACGCTCCGTCTTAAAATATACATTAAACAAAAACCCTCCCCCAAAGCTAAAGAGAGTTCCCAATGCCACACAATCCCAACAATATTACTATTTACGCTGCCTAAAGAGCTACTGTTCAGCAATTTCATCTCAGCCAAGGAACACATTCTTGCAAAGTTCTTGGCACCATTTCTTCTACAAATGAAAGAAGAGATCATTTGGAATCCGAATCAGCTCTGCTAGTTTATGAGACCACTTCATTAAAGCAGCTTTTAAATTTTTTATTTTAATATAACATGTTAGGATGGTTATTTCCATAATTGCTTGGGTATTTCCCTAGACCTATGTAAGCATTTTGAGAATCAGTAACTGTGCAGACCTGGGAAGTTCTTTCACACTGAGCATGTTTTGTTTTTTTTCCCAAGGAGTTTGAAGAATGATGTTAAAGTAGCAGCTGTTGTTTGTCACTAGATGTGTGACAAGGGAAAGGTGACCAGTTCTTACTTCTCTACTCAAACCTAGTTGTTCTGCCATCTGACAACTGAGCCTGTATCATTGCTACTTTATTGCTTTAAGTGGCAGCACAAGACCACCAGTGGCCCTAAGGCCTCTCCAGTACATGTGGAAACTGTGGTCTGAAGCTACAACTACCTAGATCTTCTTCTGTTGAACCAAACTGCTAAAGCCTGCGCACCAACATTAAAAAATTAATTAATTAATCAGCATATAGTAAATGTACATTTTGTTATTCAAGGGTTCAAAGATGTTATCCTTTTACCTTCCTCCTTCTAAGTATAAAAAAATTCCCTAAGTAAGGAAGAAATGTTAGGAAAACTAGATGCCAATTAATTTTGCTTGCTAAATAATACAGTCTGGCATTTCTGAGAACAGTTATGGACCAGGACCCAAAGGCCCACATAACCTTTCTTCAGGTCATACCCCTGTTATATAGCCCCCTTCTTGTGAAGTGTAAAGAAGAGAATGGCAAGAATAGATATCTGATTTAATGTGTTGATTTAATGTGTTGCAAACTAAAATGAATAACATATAGATTTATTGAATTGACATATGTGTTGTCGCTAGTTACATGAAAAAAAATTATTGGGGTCAAGAATTTCTAAACCAAAAAATTCCTCAGTTCTAAGAATGTTTAGCAATAAGTGAAATTACTCAACTTGCTAATATTTTCTATCTGTACTTTTACTCTAGCTACAAAAACTTTGTCATCCCTTATAATAATAGCATAAACAAATATATCTCTTTATTGCAAAAATTTTTGCAAGCCGTCAACATAATGGGTCAACAATGTCAACAAATTTCATTGCTTTCTTAGTTTTATAAAAATGATAAAAATGTGAAACTTTCCATCTGAGTACATTTTTATTATCCAAGGTTTTTTTAGTTATTATTTTCTAAAATAACTGGTTTTAATTTATAACATTGAGTTAATTCCTTTGCCAGTATACATTCTTAAATTATTACTGATGATGTGTATTATACTTAACTCAGAGCTTTCAATTCACTAAATATCTTTTATGTCTGTCAAGTGTACAGGAGGTTTTAAAAAGTAAATTTTTAAAAGACTGAGTTGGAACTAAAAAAAGAAAGCACGTATACAAGAACTATTTCCCCAGAATGGAGATGTCTACCACATCTATTTTGATGTTTTTTAAAACATTGATTGTCATATTTTCCTTGGACTCTAGATTTTTCAGAATATACATATTCCAAAATAATTTCTAGGAAAGAAATTAAGATATATTAATGACAACATAATCTATTGCCTACTGTATATAAAACCTTGTAGAAGTTTTACATTTCATTTAACTGACCTCAATTTGGAGCTGGGAAATAAGTTTTATTCACTAGTGAAATTTGACAAGTATTCATTTAAATTATAAATGGGTTATTTTAATATTATTTTCACATAATAATCTGGATTTAACTAGATGTTTAAAGAATTTATTTTTCTTTTTTGTCCAAGATAATTACTGTTGAGGTCTGAGGTTTTTTATAGAAGGAAGATAAATCCTAATGCATTGTCCTCTTCTCTTCCTTAAAGCAGTTTTCTTATAGGCTTTTTTTTTTTTTTTTTTGGTGGCACGTACCCCTAGCGGGAACCGAACCTGGACTCTCCGGTCCACAGGCCGTCGCTCAACCACTGAGCCAAATTGGCCAGGGCTTTTTTTTTTTTTTTCCTTATAGGTTTTTTTTTTTTTTAATTGATTAATTTTTGTTACAGATGATTCTCCTTTTTTCCCCCACTGATTCCCCCCTCCCCCTCCCCTCCCTGCCCCTTCCCCAGATTGTTGTCCATGTCCACTGTTCATGCATACATGCGTATTTCTGTGGTTCATCCCTCCCCCACCTCCCCACTCCTTAGGGGATTGTCAGTCTGTACCTCGTTTCCACGTCTCTGGGACTACCCCATTCCTCCTTATAGGTTTTTTATTTAAAAATCTATGCTATCTATTTATTTGTTTACACATGTACTGAGCAAAGCTGTAGAATTCCATCAGTCCCAGCAAAAAAAAATATATATATATATATATTTGGTTTGATTTTAGAACTCTCAGTAACTTGCTTAAGTGACTGTTTTTCAGAGACATGAGGTTAACTGAGGGATCCCTCACAATTTGTGCTTCACCCAATCTTTCCTGCTAAGTGAGCAAAGAGATAATGTTAAAAGTAGCATAGGACATAATGTCCCCATTTACTTCTGACTTGGTTACATAATGCCAAAAACTTTTTAAAAATGAGTCATGATTGAAGTTGCTAAAGAACAATTCATTTATAGACATATTGTTAAGCCAAAGGTATCCATCTGTCTTTCTTCATATCCATTAAGAAAAAATATATATATGTGTGTGTGTGTGTGTGTGTGTGTGTGTGTATGCAGTGTGTGTGTGTGCTTGTGTGTACATAGACAAAATAATCGAGATTATCATGTTGTTAATATTTTATACTAGGCTAATATAGTATCTTGATGTTATAAAAGAAAATTTCTCTCAGTTTCAAATTAATAAAATATATCTATATGTATTTATATATACCTAAGACCATTTAAAAGTCCTCAAAAATCTAATTTATAGAACAGTCAGTCCCATTGTCTTTTCTGAACACCAGAGATTCTGTTCTTACAAATATGCTATGCACATGGATAAGTAAACTTGACAGCATACATAATTTAAAAGAAACTGGATCTATAAATCATTTATTCCATTATGTTACAATCTGCACAGAGTATCTTAAAAGGAGAGCTGCAAGGGTTTGAATAAAAGATAAGAAGTCTTTAGACCTTGAAACATTTGTTTATGACCTTAACCCAAAGAAAGGTAAGGATTGTATTTGTTAAGGCAAACAAACATGACACATTGTAAGTATGAACTGAGAATGTGAAACTATGCCTAAAATAAAGACTACAAACAGCAAAAAGTATGTCTCAGAATCTTTCAAAAAAAATTGAAAAGAAAAGTAAGGATAATTTATGACTGTGTCACATTAGTTCCAGATGCCATACTCTCCCCCTCTTCCTCCCTCCCATGAAGAGCCTGCAAATACGTTTCTTTTTTGCTCACTCAGAGCCTATATTCTCCAGCATAGAAATTCCTTTAACACCAAGGCAGTCTACTCCCTACCCTACATGATCTGAGAGCAATTCCAGTCTCTGCCTATCTTGCCACTCGGTTTTTGAATGAAGAGGACTTGGAGGGCAGCTGGAGAAGAACAAATTCACTGAGGAGAGAAGACTTCCACCTGCACACACTTTCCCTCCAGTGCTCCCCACTACTTATGGCAAACGAATAGCAATGTGCACCAAGCTCTCTCCAAGCCCTCGCCAGTGATTTACTTTTGCTCTTCATGGCTATTCTTGACACAGTTACTGTTATTCCTAATTTTAGACTGAGGGAATGGAAATAAAGCTTGTTTAAGAAGTTTGCCCAGCCCTGGTCGGTTTGGTTCAACGGTTAGAGCGTCAGCCTGTGGTCCTGAGAAAACCGGGTTCGGTTCCTGCTAAGGGCACATACCTCAGTTGCAGTTTGTCCCCAGCCCTGGGTTGTGCGGGTGGCAGCTACTCGATGTGTCCCTTTCACATCGAGGTTTCTCTCTCTCTCTCTCTCCCTCCCACTCTATCTGAACAAAATATATATATATATAAAAAAAAAAAAAGACGCTTGCCCAAGAATGGACTCTATTGCCTATTTGGGACTCCATCTATCTCAGGCCTTTGGATGTACTCCTTTTCTTTGTATTTCTTTCCCCTATTTCCTTCCTCTTCTTTTCTTTTCTTTTCTTTTTTTTTTTCATCTTTTAACAAGCCTTGCCAGTAAAAGAAGAGTTTTTAGTATTGGGGAGAGGGCAGAGAGTCAAGGAGAGAGACTATGGGATATTGACCATAGCCTGTTGACAAGTATTTAGTGATAACTCTGGGCACTTTGAGAGGAACACCAAAAAAAAGGTGAGCAAGAAGTAGGGGTCTATGTGGCCTTCAATCTCTGAACTAAAGTTAACAATATTCCAGATTGTACCTTAAATCGTAGAAGAGAAAATTAAGTCAGCATTGTGTGTGTGGGGGGGGGGGGCATCTTTTGTCATGTTCAATTACTTTATTAAAGAAAGAAAAATATGAAAGTTTTAAAATTTTATTGAAGAACACAACTAACACTTCTGTGCATGAAAAGAAAATAGAAGCAAAAAACCTTAATAGCTGTTATTATGCCTTTAATCTTTCCAAACGTGAATGGCTTTCCAAGGTCAGTGTCAAACCATGGCCAGCAGCCCAGCCTCTGAGGCGTGTCTCAGGGCCCCAGCACTTCCTAACTCAGTGGTGTACCTTACACTTCCCAACTCCAGTTTCCTCTTCCATAAATTATAGATAAGAATGTCCTCACCACAGGGTTGTGGTGAAGATGAGACTTAATGTTAATTGGAAAGTGTATTAAAAGAATTTTTATAGGGCACTCTTATTGTTTTATAAAATATAGTATGTTCAAAGCGTACATTTCTATCTTCAATCTGGCACTATATCAGAATGTTCTAATTTGATCAAAATGTTCACTATTGTAAACATTTATTGTTTCCATATTATTTTTTACTGTTCTAATTAATCATTATTTACCTTTGCACCTTAACTTCTATCCAAGCCCCAAATTTCTTGTTCATCTACCAAAGGAATCTTATTTCTTTTTGTAGTGCACTAAGTAAGACATAATTAATAGTCACATATAAGATATGAGGTGACATTGAACTGAGAGCCCTGATGTGCATTTATAACAATGGTATGACTCAACACTTACACATACACAAAAGCACCTCCATAATGAACGATTTAAAGGATAAAAGATTCCCAAGTCGGAGATTTATCATTATGATTATCACTACCATTGTTTCTGTTATCACTGCTTTAGTTTTGGTGTTTTGTTTTTTTATTGATTCTGAAAGAGGGAGGAACGTCGATTTTGTTGTTCCACTTATTTATGCATTCATTGGTTGATTCTTGTATGTGTCCTGACCAGGGATGGAACACACAACTTTGGTGCACCGGAGTGATGCTCTAACCAACTGAGCTACTCTGCCAGGGAGTTAGTTTTGCTCTTGTTTTGTTCCTGCCAGGAGTCAAGCACTGGGTGTGTGGTTCCATTTCAGCACCAGGACGTTTGAACAGCACCATTGTGAGTCCTCTAACCACTCCGCGGTTCCTAGTTAAATTTATGCCTAACCTCTGGCACTTTTCACAGAGGGTTCTTTCAGTAAAAACCAGACAAATTGCAGAAAATCAGAGAGTAGAGTAATGAGAACTTGTCCTGAATCAATGTATAATAGTCTCAGTGATCCCCACCTCCCCCCACCCCTGGAATGGATAGTAAATCACATACTGAAAACATGAACGGCATTCACATTTCAGGCCCTGAAGATAGGTAGGTAAATAAATTTCTTCATCTTTAAATAAAATCATAATTTAAAAAAAACATTGAGCATCAGAAGATTCTCTAAAATTGGATAGCTTTTTATTTTTAAAAATGCACCTGAGGCAGATAGATTGAAATTTTTTACAATACCTGGTTGGAATCCTAAAGTCTACATTAGTTCCCAACTTGTAAGCCACTTGTAATGCAGTCGATCCTACTATCCTTTGGATAGCTCTTGTAGATGCCGCTTTATCTACCTGGAACTGCGAAATTAAGTCAAACCCTATAGAAAGGGAACACAAAATTAAAAGTCTATTGGTTTTATTCCTTTCCACAACCCACCCAAATAAATAGGTTTACAGAAAGCATGCATTTTCAAAATGATGCACTGCTACTCGCCTGGTAAATCATCCTGGCCAATCCTGACTTTTGGACAGAGTTCATTTTCACCATTAGAAATTGAATTGACAGGAAACCCTGCAAAAAGAGATCATATGTCATCCTACCTCATCTCTTACAGGGATCATGGGGAATATGTCAATAATGATAAGAACTGAGCAATTATTTAAAGCACTACATTATACCAAACAGCTAGCTTATCAGTAGTGTATTTGACTTTAACACTAAGACTCTAAAATTATAATTCATTCATTTCGACTCATCCTGGAAAGAAGGCAAGGCACAAAGGTCCTTTAGTAATCTGTGTTGGGGAAATGTTCCTTGTGGGGAAGTTAGGAATTTGTTCCTTTTGGAACTGGAGCTGCACAGCTTTCTGAATGGCACGGTGTCAGAAGCCTGTTTGGAAAACTTTTGGTGGTTTGGGCTAGAAAATATTCGTTAAACACCACAGATTTTACAATTCCTAAGAGAATCCAGAGCCAGCCTAGAGCCCATTTAATGAGATTTCTGGAGAGGGGAGTTCTTAGAAATCTTTGTCAAATAGAGAGGGGATTTGGTGGAGTCTCAGGTTCACTAATCCTGAATAAAATATAGAGGACATATTTAATTTCATAAGCTCATTCTAACAGATCAAATAAGAATCCCAACTAGACTATTGCTAGTATTCTAAATTGGGAAGAGTAATGAGGTGAAAATGAAAAGGATTAAATGCTCGATTTGATGAGGAATCCTAGAATGAACCTGGGTGCTCCATACACAAGTGGAAGATGGTACCGAAGTGTTTTCTCCCCACCACAGAGGGCCTCCTGTAACAGTACAACCCTTGTGCCCTGCTGAGACTCACCTGAAGGCAGAGACTTCCTAGACTTCAGAAAAAGTATTTTACAGCTACAAAGCTTTGGCCCAGACATCCCAGTACATCAAATATATCCCCCCAGGACCCCAGATTAATAACTTCTATACATCTATACATCTATCCACCCATCCACCCATCCACCCATCCACCCATTCATCCATCTATCTATCCATCCAACATTAGCAATCACCACCTGAACCAGGCAGGCACTGTGCTAGGCACTGGAGCACACAGGCTGGCTTTCCTGCCAACTTTGACCACAGCCAGGACTACTTTATACCCAACACTGACCACAGAAAACCAGCCACAGAGTACCTGTGGCCAAAGCAGGATTGGAGAGAGGGTACGAGGGACCATGGGTGCCTCACTCAGTCCTCACTCAGCCTGGCTCTGCCTGATCCCTTCTGGTAACAAGTGATGTTTCAAAATCTAGAAACTGTGACCCTTACTTGGGCGACGCTTGACGACAGTGGCAGATGCCCAGGGTCCCAGGAAACTGCATACAAAGAAGAAAACTGGAATTTTCCTGAAAAGGAGAAAAGGAAATGATTCAAACATGAGTCCTTCCAGATGGGAAATACTTTAGTATTTTTAAACATGGTAAAAACCTAATTACTACAGCATAGTTTATTTTTTTCATTGTGACTTGGAAGTCTTACTGAGAGATTTAATGAACTCTCACACTTTCAGCTCCTCCTCTAAAAACGATCATTGAGTTGTTGTTGTTTTTATCTCACGTCTCTACTTCTACCTCACTGTTTCTACACCGATTTCCTTGTCTGTATTTTCTTTCTTTGTAGTTTCTCTGCCCCTCCATTTCAGTAACTGTCTTTCCCTCTTTCGCTGTCTCTTCTGCCTCCCATCCTTGCTTGTTTTTGTCTTGCTTTCTCAACTGTCTCTCTCTATCTCTGTCTCTGTCCCTGTCTCTCTCCTCTCATCTCTCCCTTACCTCCTCTCATCTCATCACCACTGCAAAAACACAGACCCTGGGCCATGTTCCCGCCACTCTTTCCAGGGTCAAGTCTTACCAGAAGGTCTTCATTTTCCTGATTGGTTTTCTGCTGCTGCCAATAGTCCCTACGAAGAAGGAGTTGTAGGGGAGTCAGTGCCCCCCCAAGACCCTTTCACTGTCGCCCCAGGACTGAGGACTTCTGGCCCCAGCCTTGGTTCCTCCTGCCCCTGGGAGGGCTAACAGCAAAGAGAGCAAACCAAAGGCATCGGCTGACACTTTAAACCAAAGCAGAAGGAAGGGGTGGGGAAAGGCGGCCCTGTAAGCCCTAGTCTAGCCAGGGGTGTGTCCCCAAAGCTAACAAGGTTACACTGAAGGAGGGATTAGCAAGGGAAAGTTTGCTGAAAAGGGGAAAAAAATCAGGATGTGGAGAAATGCACTAGAAAACCCCAGGCAAGCCCTACAGGGATACAGTGGAGGCTTTTAGAACTGCTGCGCGAATACAGGGGGCCTTTTAGAGGCCTGAGGTGAAGAGGGGCAGAGATGTGGGAACTCAGGGGCGCCTCGGGGCCTCTCCGACCTCAGTGTGAATCCTCGTTTGTTCTGAAGTTTACAAGTTAAATATTCTTGAGCAAGTGAGTTTGTCTGTGTATCTCACCGTTGCCTTCACTGAAAAAATGGGTTGAAAGTAGTTACCTAAAACAATTGTTTTGAAAATTAAGCAAGATAGCAAAGCAGAGAATCTAATGCTTACCTGGGAGAACAGTTATTCCTCCTATTATCGTCATTATAGCTAACACTTCACTAGCGACCCTCTGTTGAAAATGCCTGAAGCCTAATGACATTTAATTCTCACAACACTGTAAGGTAGGGCTAAAATGTTTCCTAATCTACAGATGAGAAAATGAAGTCACTTGTAAGGTGTCCAAAGTGGCCCAGTTAATGACTCAATACACATTAGCTCCCTCTTCTTCACGGTTGGACATTTTGATAAACATAACACCAAGCCCTCTAGTTCTTATTTCTTCTTAAACTCTGTAATTACCAGAGCTGAGCACAATATCTTTGGAGATAAACAGTATGTTGTTTTCTACAAACAAGTTGGGAGCAAATTACAAGAAGCACAGACCTGTAAAGAGAGATTTTGTCAGGACCATGTCACACATACCCACCCTCTGTCCAGAACCCGAGTGGGGGTGGGGAACCCACTTCCACCCCCTCAGAATGAGCTGCTTCTGGCTCCATCTTAGGGGTTGTGAATGTCCTGTCCTAAAACATGGACATGTGGGGTCAGAAGACCCAATTATTTTAATAAGTTGTGGTATCCAGTGTAAAGTAGTTTTGCTGTCTTGACATTTAATTTTTAAATTAATTTAATTTTTACTTAATTAAAAAATAAATGGTATTGTTTCTTATTTTTTATTTGTTTTTCTTTATAATGCGTATTCTCTCTTCTGCCTCACTCGGCTCACCGGAGAGTTTGCCCTGAGAAGCCGTGAGCGGGGCAGACTGAACGTGCGTGCCGTCTGTTCAGCATTCCTGACCAGTCATGAGCTACCTGTGGGAGTCCTGTCTCCACCTGGCATAGGACATCCAGTTCCTCGCATCATCTGGGGTTTTCTACGAGGCCCTGTCATTCTTCTTCCATCTATCAAAATTACATTTCCCTAGGACTGCTGTTTTGGCTGCGTCACAGAATTACAAATGGTCAGAGTCTCAATTATGTTTGTATGGCCATCGGGGCTTGTTGAAATGGAGCATTTCATTAACCCAAAGGACTGAACCTCTAACAGTAGGACTTCAGAGGAGAAATTGTTCAGCTGGGTCCTTCCTGACGTCCTAAAATGGTACAAGCAAGCTAAGCCAGCCCCCAATCCACAGGAAAGGGGGCATTTTTTCCAAAGGGAACCTCTCTACTGAAGTTCTTTATTTACATGCAGATCCTCTAATATTATTTACTCTGAGGAAAAAAGAAGAGAGGCGGTGTTCTCTATATTATTAAGTGTTTGAGAAATTCTTTTGCTACATGTGTTAGAGACCTCACCTCTGGTTTTGCTCCCTCCCACTTTAAAGAATCCTCTATAGCTAGAATCTGAAGGCAATTGAGGGAATCCTGTTTGTTTTTTTAAAGATGTTTATTGATTTTTAGAGAGAGAGGAAGGGAGAGAAAGAGAGAAACATCTATGTGAGAGAGAGACATCTATCGGCTGCCTCCTGCAAGCCCCCTACCAGGGATAGGCTGCAACCTTTCGGGCACAGAATGACACTCAAACAACTGAGCCACACGGCCAGGATGAGGGGGTCCTTTTAATAAAACATAAATGAAAGAATAGAAAAGAAAATACGTTTGCTTGTAAGTGGTTTGGCTTATTTCCAGCTTGTAAGTTTTTTTTAAGATGGTGAACAGCAAACAACAGCACTATTAGGAAAGAATATAAATCCAGAGAAAACAAAATATTTTTATCTCATACATATTTATATATTTTTTATTTATATATGTATTTAGGACAATTTTGTCTTCTCCTTCCACCTACATTTTCTATGAATCATATTTCCTAACATGACATTTGAGTCTCACAGAGAACCATGCAAACCCCACACTATCCTGCTCAGGGTCAGGTTGTACCCTAAAATCATAGGCACATGAGCTTTTTCATCATTAACACTGTATCTAACAGTTCTCTTCTTGAAAAACCATGTGGAAATGAAATCTAGCCGATCATATCAGATTGCAAATGCACTAAGACAGCTTGATATTTAAAATGATTCATGTTGTAAATAGAAGTGTTTTATACAGAATAATTTTGCTTTCATCCCTCTTTATTCCCTCTTTCCCCACCCCACTCCCACACACTGCTCTACACAACATACATACACATTAATCTTTTCCTTCCTATAAATCCAGAATTTTACTTTCTTACAGTTCAAATTAGGGAACATCATAACAAACAATCATTGTTCCTGAAGACCAACTTTCTTTGATTTGTTTACTCAATCATTCAACAAACACTTATTGAATAACTACATGTACCAAATAAGTACTAGGAATTGAGGAGAGAAAAAAAGAGGAAAAGGCATGGCCCTGGCCAGTTTGGCTCAGTGGTAGAGCATCAGCCTGGGGACCGAAGAGTCACAGGTTTGATTCCAGTCAAAGGCACGTACCTTGGTTGCGGTTCAGTCCCCGGCCCTGGTCATGGTTGTGTGTGAAACAACCAACCAACATGTCTCTCATGTCAATATTTCTCTCTCTCCTTCCACTCTATCTGAAGATAAAAATAGAAGAAAATATCCTCAGGCGAGAATTTAAAAATGAACAAGAGAAAAACATGAATAAACACAACCATGCCCTGAAGAAGCTCATGGCCCGTGGGGAAGTCCAATACAAAAATGACTGCAATATGATGAGTGAAAAAGCATGTGGCATCATTGAGAAGAAGTATGTACTCATTCCAAGGGAACTGGAAAAAATTTTTATAAAGGTGAGATCTTAAAAGATGAATAGAAACCTACCAAGAGAAGAAATGGATGTTGTGCATTTGGGGTAGAAGAAACAGCAGGTACCATGACAAAAAAGTAGAAGAGGATATTTCAGGAACCACAAGTTTAGTTCAGGAACTCTCATTTGGTAAATATTTATTGCTGACTCTTCTACCGTAAGCACTGATCAGATCTCAGCACAGAGACATGGCAAAGAAAGACCAAGTCCCTGTCCCCATGGAGATTACATGCTGGTGGAGAGACAGATGCTAAATACATTTACAAGAATTAACAAGATACTTTCCGTTGAAACTCTTATTTTTAAAAATCCAGGAAAGGGCAATGTGTGCCAGAGAAAAGCAGGGGTAGAAGTAGAGGCTGATCTAGATTGAGGGGTCAGGGGAGGCTCTGAGATGGTAAACTTGGACTCAGACCAGCTGAGAGTGGAGAGGTAAGACTGACAGAGTAAACTGGAGACGGAGTGGGTGACCTGCAACTAGAACTACCTAGTTTCGAGCTGGAGCCACTAAGTAGATGGTGATGTGGTTTTCTGACATAACAAGTAGGAGGACCATTGGAAGGAGATGAGCAGGGGATCTTGAGAACCTTTGAAAGAGTTTGGACTTTATCCTGGCTGTTATGGAAACTGGGAGAAGAGTTTGAGGCCAAGAATTACTTCTTTGTTGTTGTTGTTGTTATTGTTGTTGTTGTTAACCCTCGCTCAAGGATTTTTTTTCCATTGATTTTTTAGATAGAGTGGAAGGGAGGAGGGGAGAGAGAGAGAGAGAAACATCTGTGAGAGAGACACATTGATTGGTTGCCTCATGCATGACCCCAACTGGGCCAGGGATTGAACTTGCAACCCAGGTACATGCCCTTGACCAGTGTCGGTCCACGGGCCAATACTCTAACAGCTGAGCCAAATTGGCCAGGGTTCTTTTTAAAAATGTATCTTTATTATTGAAAGTATTACAGATGTCCCTCTTCTTTTCCCCCACTGACCCCCTTCTCCCCACTCTTGCCCCACTCCCTGCCTGCCTCATACTATTGTCTGTATCCATTGGTTATGCACATATGCATATAAGTTCTTTAGTTAATCTCTTCCCGCCCCCACTTCCCTCTGAGGATCATCAGTCTGTTCCCTGCTTCCATCCTTTAGATGAGTCTTCTGAAAGATGGTTCTGGTGTTGCTTGAAGGATGGGCTGAATCAACTCGATCAATATGGATACATACACACAACTGAAACAAAAGTTGCAGAAGACAATACTTACCCATGTAAATGTGGTGCACTCTAGTTTCTGTTTTATTCTATTTCATTCTTTGGTATTGATGACCAACCCAGCAAATTGATTTCAGTATCAGCTAATGGTGGTACTGAACCCATGGTTTTAAAATCACTGAATCAGAATACAACAGGCACTAGAAATGCCAAGAGAGATCTTTTATCTTGTTTCCTGGTATGGGCACAACAGTTGAGATGCCTCATAAAACCCGTAGAATAGCAGGACCAGTTCCTTAGCTTTAACAAGACTATTTTATTTTGAAAGTATTCTTTTGAAGTGAAGTTGCCATAAACGTATAACATTAATTAAAGATGCCATGACTACTGTATTGACTTTATAGGTTAAAACAAACAAGTATTTTAAAAACTAGCTTCCTAATAGTATCTCATTTTAAGCTTTCTTCTGCCTAGCATGTTGTTAAAGATAAAAGACCCAAAATGCCTGGTGGCACCCATCAGTTGTGTGAGGATGTGCAAATTAGCCACAGCTA